CTCATCCCGTTAAGCACTTCCCACACTCGTAGACAGCATCTGACCCCAAAACCTTCTATACCCCTGTTTACGAGATGGAGAACTGATATAAAAACAAGGAGTCATACAGATAGTTGTCAAAATGTTGGCATTAGCCAAGCTTAGGTTCAAATCCTGACTCCACCATACATTCTTTGTAATAATAGCTGTAATAATACCTATCCCTTTGGGGCTCAATTTAGTCATACAATGTATATAAAGTGCTTTGTACAATAGTAGTGGTCCATAAAAGAGAGCTGTTATTGTTAATACAGGATAAGGAGGAAAGAAGAACATTTTCTGAAAATCTATAAGCCAGGCACACTATTAGGAATTTACATATTTCATCTCATTCAATCCTCTCACCTATCAAGATAAACTGGTAACAGTATTAGCATTTTACATATTAGAAAACTAAGGCTCAGAGGCACTCAGTTCTTTGGGGTCCAGTTCTCCTCTCCCATGTCTGAGGGCCCACATTTTCCTATTGGGTTGATTCCCCTCTCAACCATAAGGCTAACAATGCACATCAACTTCAGTTTTTCTTTTGAGGTAAGGTGTGACTCTAACCAAAAGTAACTCAACCACAAGCAATAATTAAGTAAGTTTGTCCAATTCATCCAAATATGTTATTATAACATTTTTTAAAAATATGTAAACAAGAAAAGCAAAGTGTAGCCCTGAGTACATAAAAGGAGAAACAGGAAGAGGTACCCTGGATTAAAACAACTGCATCACAAGAACTCAAAGCCTCTTTTCAAACACAATTCCAGAGGAGCAAATCCAAAGAAACTGGCAGGAGGCAAGGTGACAACCAGCTCTTGCTCAACTCCCCAAGTGTGATGTTTCCTTTTACAAATCCGTGCCTTGGCAAATGCTCCTTCCTCTGTTTTAAATGCAGTTCCATTTTCACCAGACAAATTATTGTTCCTTCTTTTAAATCCAGCTCAAATCTCCTACTTTTGGGAGCTTTCTCTGACACCTCATCATAAAGTTAATTGCTTAAGTGTGATCCAGGAGCAGTTTATCCCTATTTCATAACTTTATTTTACTATATTGTTAAGATTTTTAGTTATCTGTTTTTCCTCCTATCAGTCATTTTCAGGGAGGAGAGGATGGAAGATAGCAGGTATAGTTGTATGTGTGTGCCCATGTGTGTTTAAAAATCATATCTGAGCCCTGGCTAAGGGACTCAGTTGGTTGAGCATTGTCCCATACACAAAAAAACGTTGCAGGTTCGATCTCCAGTCAGGGCATATACCTAGGTTGAGGGTTCAGTCCCCAGTCGGGGTGCATACAGGAGGCAGACAATCGATGTTTCTCTCTCTCCCCAACCTCCCTTCCTCTCTCTGAAATCAATAAGCATTACCTTAGATGAGGATTAAAAAAAAAATCTTATCTGACAATTTCTCTGTCTTGTTTTTGGTTAGACCCTTTAATGCATTTTAAAATTTCAAGTAGCATTAAAGAAAAGCATGATATTAATTTTTTTCATCGAAAAGTGTATGAGTTTTAAAAGTCTGAGAAACACTGAGCTAGACATAGATCCTTAAGAGCAAGGACCACGTTTTATTCATTTCTGTATTCCCAGCACAGGCCCAGGCACAAGTAAGTGAGTAAATGTTTGCTGAAAGAATGTATAAGCCCAAAGTCATGAAGTCAACTGCTCTGGAATCAAAACATGTCAGAGCAAAGCAGGGCCTAAGCACCCTGCAAAGCTGCTTTTCCCTCTCTCCCCTTCCTCCTAAACCACCCCATTCTGTCCTCCCAGTTAGAGAGAGAAAAAGAGAGAAACACTGCCTTGGTGCTGGAATACTATTAAAAGGATTAATTTAGGGACCAGTGTTTGGACTGTCACATCCAATCACTACCCACAGATCTACAGCTTCCCAAATCAAGCTCATGCAAAGAGGAATCAATTGCAAGGACACAGAGGGTCTGAACAGGCATACTAATGGCCTCCTGAGGTGCCAGCGGCCAGCTCTGACACTCCCATAAATTATCTGCCTTTTGATTTTACCTGTAGCTGTGGGGCACAAGGCACAATTTTGAACATATCAAAGCAATCTCTTGCAACCCAAGGCTCCCCCAAGAATGTCCCCAAAGGAGGACAGGCTAAAAACAATGACCCAAAGGGAATCTACTTCCCGGCAGGCCTGTTCCTAGCAGCCAACAATTAAAATCCAACAGGACCAAGTGGATAAAGTGGAACCCAAACCAAGTCTAGCAAATCTGCACAAGGAATGCATCAGAATGCATTTCTGCAGTGACTACACATCTCTCACTCAAAGGAAGAGAAATCACAGCAATAAACTCACACAATTTCATCTGGAGGCAAATCTGCACTAGCTCTCACAATACCCTACAGTATGACCTCAGGCAACACTCTTAACCTCATTGGGCCTCAGTTTCCTCAATGGGTAGCAGGGATAATACTGAATGCTGACCTCCTAACCCACTTCCCAGAGTGGTAGTGAAAAGTAACAGAAGATATTTGAGAGGCACTTTACAAAGATGTAGGTCCACCAGGGTAGCAACACTAATAAATGACCCTAACAGACTGGGAGAAATGACTGGTCACACTTGGGTGAATTTGTTTCGGGTAGCTGCTCTCTCAATTCGCTTCACTGACGGTAGTGGGGCTAAGGTCCACTCTGAAGAAAGTTCTGGATTCTAAATGGGACTCCTGATGTCTGAAAATTTTCCATTATGAAGAGCAGTGCCTTGTTTGAGTTGTCACTGCCTCCTGTCAGCTGACTGCCTCCACCAGGGTCTATGTTTCTACCCTATGGCCACAATTACAATTGTGAGGACCCAATTGTTGCTGACTGCTTTCAGAAATCATTATTCAAATATTATTGTGTAACACACTATTAGTAACAAATGTTATTGTGTAAAAATTCATAATTTTCAAAAATTATTGTGTAAAATACTATTAGTAACAAAAGTTAAAGGCACTGTGCTAAGAGCTTCACGTACATTATCTCATTAAATCCTTAAACCAACCCCATTAAGTTCCATTATCTCCATTTTACAGGAAGTAAAGCTAAACTCAGAGAGGTAAGTCACTTGGACAAGGTCACATAACACTGTTACCAGAAACCTACAGGCTACCCTTCAGCAATGCAAGTACACTGGGGCTTGTAGGAGGAGGAAGACAATTCTTCAGACACTGTACTGCATTTGGTCCTTGTGCCTGACTAGGAGACTTTCCCAAAACCAGAAAAAAGGTCATCAGTTTGTCACAAGCAAGGACAGACTAAGTAGGACATATAATGAGGACAATTCCTAAAAAGCTTAGGAAAATGGGTCCTCCTCTGTGTGCATAGTTCAAGAAGTTCAAAGCAACAGATATTAAGCTATGAGCCCTAAGACCAAGATCCCTTCCAGGCCTCCATTTATTCCCTACTTCTTTAAATAGTAAAGGCTTCCCAAAGTCTTTTCATTCAGTCAGCACCAACTTTCCCTTCCTACATCTTTTCTAGTGTATGAAATAGGAACTGGTATTGCCAACGTCTTTAAGCTCCAGGGAATTCTGGTGTTCTGAACCAGAACATCTGGGGTAGGTGTTCTGGAAATTAGTAAAAAGAACAAGTATACACATATATGCAGAGATTGACTTATACTCAATCTTTAAGTGTCAAAATACTGCCTCAAAGAGGGAAATATAAAATGCTACTCATGTAACTGCCACAGCCTCCTTACTGGTCTCTCTGCTCTAGTATTGTCCCCTTCAATCCATTCTTAACACTGAAATCAGAGCAAACTTTCTGAAACACAAATCTATTATCAGTCCATGGCTCAACACCTTTTCATGGACCCTTAATGCTCTTACAGGAGTCTGATCCAGGGGCTGGCAAACTATGGTCTGCGGGCTAAATCGAGCTGCCACTGTTTTTATAAAGTTTACTGGAACATAGCCATGCTTGCTCATTTTCTTACTATGGCTGCTTTCATGCTGTAACAGCAGAGTTGAGTAGAGTCGAATAGTTGTGAACAGAGACCCATGAAACCTAAATATTTACTGGTCCTTTAGAGAAAAATTTGCTGACCTAGTCTAATCATTTTTTCCACCTACAAGGTCCTGGCCTGTTTATCTTTCCTGCTTCATTTCCCACCACATTTTCGTGCCCCCTGCCCAGAGTACTCTTTCAGTTACACTAAACTTCAGTTTTTCAAATTCAACAAAGCTCTGACCTTCACAAATGGTCCCTCATATTTTTATCTACTTCTAGATGAGGGTGTTACTTCCTCATCTGAGGAAGCTTTCCCTGAGCCCACTGGTCTGGGTGAGGGACCCTTCTGAATACTCTCAAAGCATCTACTGTTACTTTCTTATAGCACCCTCCAAGTATATTATAATTGCTTGTTTACTATCTTATCTGTCTCCCCCATGAATTTGTAAGCTCTTTGGTGTCAAGGACAGCAGCTTATTTACCGCAACAAACCCAGGACCTAGCAAAGTGCCTGGCCCTTTATTAAAGAAACAGCCTGAGATCCTGGATATCAATCATCAGAGTCCACCTTTTAGCCAGCCCCCTATCCTTATAAAATGAAGACAGGCCGGGATTAACCATCTACCCAGAGGTGACTCACAAACCAAATTAAACCAAGATCCCTAAGGTCTTGGTCAAATGTATGATCAAAAGCCAAATGAATGTGTTCCTTCCTACTGTCTGAAGATGTCTATTTCTCAGAATAAAGAACTATCCCACCTCTATTAAACCTTTCTGAACCTAAAGTAGGTATTCATGCAATGCCCACAAAGAAATCATGACAGAACTTGAAAGTCTGGATACCCCACCTCCAACTCTCACACTTTATATACTTTGGGTAATTTCAATGGCCTTTGAGCATATGGTGTATTGTCAGAAAAAGCTACAGAAAAATACAATCTGCACCAACCCTGACCCCTCACCCGCCAAGCCCAAACTCATAAGGAAGAAGCCAAGCCAAACTTGACCATGCAGCAGGATTCTCACCTCTCCTTACTTCGAAGATGCCAAGGCTGGCAGCGGGGGATGCTGAAGGTTCTGTGAGAGCTGGAAAGCCCCAATGCTGTAGATAAATACACATCTCTGCAATAAGTCTATTTTAGTACAAAGGATCAAATCCCCAGGGGGGCTGCTGTTTGAAACAATTTAAGAACCAACGGGTATACTTCAAACTTCTAAACTCAGACTACTTTGGGATAACAGCCATCTATGTGGAAGGACAGTGCCTACACAGAAGTTTCAGAAGCTACTCATACTATGTATCTTTGTAATGATGAATTTCATGTTCTGTAGTAACATACTTTTCTTCTTAAGGAGACTTGTCTCGTAGAAACACTAAATATTTACAATATCTAAGCTTGGACTGAGAAAGAGGGCCATGAAGTGGTGGCTCTCTGGATAATCCCAGAATCCTAGTCTAGTAAAGGAGAGGACACTAATAATGATGACACTATTCAGAGTTTAGGAACTCAGGCCAGGATTGGTGGAGGGGCTGGCTGCCACAAACACACAAGCCATACTGCAAATGGCCACATAAACCAGGAAACCTGCAAGATACTTCCAGGTTTGCCTGAAGTTCTTAGGAAGTCAAAGTAACAAAATCCCAAGTAAAATCATCGATGGACAACTATCATATTTATCACCTAATTAAGATCTTCCAAAGGTCTAGAAGTTGCAGAGGTGCCCTTATAAGCCAGCAATGAATGCCCTTTGCACAAACACCTAGGTTTGGAATCAGTCTATTCCTGTCTACCACTGTTTACACATTAAGACTTTATTCTGCTCAGGTCCCTTGAGAAAGTGCCACTCAGCAACCTACCCCACCACAAACAAAACACTTTCCAAGATGAAAGAATAAAAGCACTTTTATTTGGAATTTTAAGTTGGAAGGAAAGCTCTCAGCCAAGCTCTATGACCTAGCTAGCAGATTATTTACAGGATCTTTGGGCAGGAATTGTTAATGAGCTTTTAATTTGGAGTGCTTAAGTTGCCAAAGTGCTCTGAGCTCCAGTGAAGCACCACAGAATCCATAAAGGAAACCTTATCAATCACTTCCCGGCAGCTTGCTTCTCCCACCTCCCTACCTCTATGAGGAAAGCCAGCCAAGTGGGTTTCTAACCAAGATCTCAGACACACACATTAGTGGTGTCACACTCCAGGTCCCTGTTTATAAATTGGCTTTTAAATGGTAGGGGATTCAAGTATAATATACTTAAGCTTCAGGCATGAACCCACTAAAACAAGGCATGCTGTGTATGATAAAGTCAGAATAAAGCAGAATTTGATGAAGCCAATTTCTGGTAGACTCTACAATCAAAAATCATTCAGCCAATCACAACCTACTATAGTTCAAATAGAGCACAGTCTTTCACCAATGGGATTCGTGTTTTTTCGCCCTTCAGCTGGGGGACTGATAAAAATGTCTCAAAAGAGCTAATGCCATAGAGTGGCCAAACACTTGTAGCAGAGGCAACGATAGGCACCATCAGTTAGCAAAATCCAGCCCTAAGGACAGAATACAAACCCCACAGTGAGGGGCCGCATTCAGCATCTTCCAAGTCAACAAGGAGCCGTTATATTTTGCAAGAACTCAAAGTCAAGCTTCAATCCTAGTTCATGCTTTTTTGTTTTAAGAAAGCACCTGTTGCTGTAACATTCACAGGAAAAGCAAACAGAAAGCTGCCCCCCAGGCCCTTTATTCAGTCCTTCCACCATCACTACCACCACTGCTACAGATTTACAGAGGTAAACTGTGTGTATGTGTGGGTGTTGGGGAGGAAGAAAGAGGATGTTCTATTTTCTATCTCCTTGCTGGGTTTCTATCCTCTCTGGTCAACCCCCTCATCCTCCTCCCTGGTAATCCCATGTAAGAAGTCAGCACCTTTAGTCACCTCACCCAGACTGTCTTGCAGAGCCCTGCCCCGCTCCCTCTCTGCCTGAGCGTTACTCAGGAGATCATGCATCCAGGGTGAGCACATGGGCCAGCACCCAAGCCGCACAAACTGTGCGCGCCGCGACCCGCACCCCGGCATGCATCAACCAGGGCCCAATCTTGGGGGGCCTCTCTGCATCACCCACCCCGGGGTGTTGCCCCCAACTCGGGCCCATCCAAGTCCAGGGGAGAGTAAGGGGAGGGGCAGGTGGCCAGGAGACCAGCCCTCCTTCCCAGGGCCGCCCCCGTCCCCCGTCAGCAGCAGGAGAGGCTGTCGCCATGGCAACGCCCCCTCCTTGGGGCCAGCGCGGCAGGCTCCCTCCAAGTGCAGGCCCCGACGTCTCCCTCGGCCTCATCTGGCGCTCAGGGCAGTTTATGGCGGCGGGCGCGGCCCGCGCCGACTGCGGCGCCGGCCAGGCAGAGGCAGGGCCAGCTCCGCCCGCTCCCCACTGCCCGTTCCCGGCCGCCTCAATAGCGGCAGCCAGCACCACGAGTCCACAACACACCGACTCACCTCCGCGCACTCTGACCCCGGTCGACGCAGCGGATGGGCGGGCGCGGTGGCCAACCGCTGAGCCCGCCATCGACTCATTCGACCAATGGCATGCATGTGGGCGGGGCTGTTTTCCCCGAATGTTCGCTCTCCCGCCGACATGCGCGCTAAGGTGTGTCAAGATGGTGATTCTTCCCAGCCAGCCTTATGGGACTTGTAGTTTTGAGGTTGCACGTACTCAGAAGAGTGAAGGGGGCTTGCTTCCGACTGAGAAAGAAATTAAAAAAAAAAAAAAAACAAAACGAAAACTTTGCAAGGCCTAGAGCGACCCAGGTCCACTTCCCGTTTTCCCACCTTACAGTATATTCATAAGGTGAGTATAGGCTCATAAGGTGACGTTATATTTAGATGACACCTTCTCATGATTTGTTCATTCAACAAGTCGTTATTATCCACTCTTTGTGGTGGGCCAGAGGGGAGAACTGAGAGAAGGTGTGTTTTAGGCTAAGAAGAAAATGCTTAGGTTTTTTGGTCAGATTTGTTAAGGGCCTTCCTAAAAGAAAGAAGGAAATGACTTGTTCAAGTCGGCTGCAGAGGGAACTTAAGGGTTAAAAGGATTCTGGCCTCAACTGTGAAGAGCTTCCAGACAGCCCCTTCCAGTCTTTTCTGTCCGCTGGCGAGAACTCTGTCCAAAGCCAGAGATATGTTTCTTCATCCAGGTTCTGGCTTTCTGGGAAGTCATGGGTACCAGGCTCTGAGTTCGGAAACCACAGCCTTGGCCAAACCAGTGATGGCTTTGACAGCTCTCAAACGGTCAAGAACCATCTCCTGGGCCTAGCTTCAGGCACCAAGTCCTCTGTCTGCTGTCTGCATATTTTCACTTAAGAGAAATGATGCCACTTCTGGGCCATGCCACCTCTGCGAGATCTGACCTTAACATTATGGTTCCCGCTTGAGCTCGGAGTACCTTCCCTAATGCCACATAATGGGTTAGGTGATTCCGCTCTGCACCTATAGAATGTATCACATTGTTTTATAATTGTCTATTTCCTTTTTGTCTTTCCCCAGGGCTGTAAACTCCTTTAAGGTAAGCATTATTTCCATATTGTTCATGCTATGTCAGTGATACCCAGCACAGTACCAGGCAAAAGCAGGCACATAATAAATGTTTGTGGACAAATGAGGTGAATAAACATCAGCAGGGATAGATGTCACTTAACCCAAGGTCAGTAAAATGGAAGCACTTCTGCCTGTATCCCCTAATTCTTGGACCTGGAATTGGGTCTTCCTCGTCCATTAATGTCATCTAAATATTAACCCTAGTTGATCAGTCAGTCAACGTATAATTACAGTGCCTCTACTAAGTGTCAGGCACTGTTTCTGTTGCTGAGGATTCACTGGTGAATAAGACACACAAAGCCCATATCCTCAAAGAGCTTTTAGTTTGGGGAGGGGATGGGTGGAAAGAACAGACAAAAACAAGTAAGTAATTAGATAAATAAAATTAGACAAATAAAAGGCCCTGAAATGGCTTCTCCCATCTCTGGCTTTATCATTCTGAATCTGGCCCGAGAATAGGGCACAGCCAACCATCTTGGCTCTAAGAATGAAGTAAACCTACACTATCTGGGTTAGAGGCGTTTTACAATAGATACACCCTGGGCCACCTCCTGGCAACTGGTTTAAGTGACTTAACAAAAATGAACACTGAGAACAGGGTCCAAAAAGAGGACCTACTTGGTTCTTCTACTGCCCCATCAAACCACCAGGAAAAACAGCAAGATGGCCATCAAAGCTGGGATGTTAATCAGCAATCAGAGGGCAGAAAACCCAGGACCCAAGGACAGCATGGCAGCCCCAAACTTGGCACAGCTGAGAGAACCCAGATTGGATTGGAAACATTTTTATCTGAGCACTGGAAAAATCACTTCTGGCGATCACAGTCCCTGTAAGCTACATAAAACAGCATAGCGCAGTTATGAGGAGTGTGAGCTCAGAGAGAACCTGTTCAGGTTTGAGTCCTGGCTCTATCTATGACCTTAGGCAAGTCACATGCCTCTCTGGGGCTCAGTTTCTTCATCTATAGAGTGGAGGTAATGCTAGTACCTACTGGTTATTAGAATTAAATACAAATATGCTTAACACAGTATCTGGAGTTCAGTAAATATTGGCTATTTCTACTGTTTTTGCCCCTCCCATCCTTCTCTCCAACTCCTCTTCCCACCATGACCACCACCACCCCACCTCCTCACCCCCCATCCTGCTCCCACAGACTTCTCTGCTCCAGGAGCAGTGGGGGCTGGACCTGGCCATGCCTTCTTCGCCCTGCTCTCCCCAGGGCTGTTCCCCTTGAGCCTGAGCCATTCATCTCCCTGGTGACCTGAATCTGAACTAAGAGACGGATGTGGGGTGGCTGAGGCCAGGGTGGTAATGTGCTCCCTTATCTCCGTGCCCCTCACTGGGGCCTAGTTAATTTTCCCTTTGATTTTAATATAGATTTATTGAAAGTTTCAGTTATCAAAACAAACTGCAGCAGCAAATTGGTGTTCTTTGCAGGCCTACAAGTGCCTATAAAGCTGCCATGCTCGGGAACGAATGGCGCTCTCTAGGAGGTCAGTCATGGCAACAGGAAGTCCCTGGGGAAACACACACTGCAGTTTAATATTTTTCTTATTAGCCTTTTTCTTCTTGGCTATCTAAACCTCCCCCTTTAAATCAGAAATCAAATGGAGCCACCTGCCCAGGGAGGCGTTCTTCCCCAAGCTGCTCCACTTCATGCCTTCTCTGTTCCTTCTCTAGCCCTACCCTCCTTGACCCTGCCTTGCCACTGTTCCAGAGAGTTGTCGTTCATGTGCCCCAGGGTGTGGCTCACAGCCCTTTCCCAATTGTGGACGGTTGACTTGGGCTGTCCAACCACTAGTCAGAGTAAAGCATGTCTAGAAAAGATTGGGGTCCCAGGCCTCTTCCAGATCTGGCACTAAGCAGGGGATTTTTCTTTTTTTAAGCAAAAGAGTTATTTTCAATAAGGCAGACAGTCCTGTCAGGATCTATTGAATGCAACAGAACCAAAAAGGAGATGAGGATCCTAGAGACTGTGCAAGTTCCCATTCCAACCCAAGAATTATCTGATTTCATTCTCATATCCCCACTGCCACTCTCCTCTCAATCCCAGCTTGATTTTTGAGACCCTCCATTCTCTGGTCCCAATCGGACTCTCTAAGAACCAGCTTGGTTTCCTGCCTCCAGTAGCTTGCGTAGCTAGAACCACTCACTGCCACCTTCAGATTCAGGAATCAATCCTGCCCCAGGAGGGGATCCATAGCCTGGTAACCATGAGGGCACTATCATCTCTTCTGGGGCTGAGGTGATACCGGGCCACCTGTACATACCACATCCCAATTCCTTGCTCCTCAAAAGTCCATGTGAGTAGCAAGAGCTACCGCCCTTCCTCAGAACTTGGACAAAAACTAAGGGTCCTGACAAGTACATCTGCGTAGCTAGGGTGGTGGAAGGTGCTGAGGTTTAGATTCAAACAGTCCAGGATCTGAATCCTGGCTCTGACACTTAACTGATCCTGTGACTTGGGGAACCTCATTCTGGTTTCATTGCACCTTGCGCTTGCATCTACTCTTGTTTAAGGACTACTCTGTAACAAAATTGTCTCTGTATCTGTTACCTAAAGTAATCTGACATTCTTAAAGAAGAGGACTATCTTAATTATCTTTATATTCCAAGTACATATGTTTGGTGAATAAGCAAATTCGCCTTCTCTGGGCTTGTGTCCTCCCCTATGAAATGGAGGTAATACCTACATAACCAATTAAGTGAAGAAAGCATCTGCCACAGTGCCGATCTGTCTATGGTAGGTACCCAGTGAGTAAAGTTTCCTTCAACATCTTTCTCCTGAGGTTGGTCATTAGCCAGCAGCACTCTCACCTTCTGCCTGTTCCCATGGCAGCGTCAAGTTCAGCTCCCCTTTGTTTCCTGCTGGAGCTTTCCCATCGCTGATCAGATGCCAACATTCACCTTGACCCCTTTGAAGTTGTGCTAACCTCCCTCCTCAAATTGAGAGGCCAGGCTCCCTCAATTTTTTCAAATCCACTCGCAAACTTTTGCCTCCTGATGGCTCTGTTTCTATTCCTTTGACTGTCTGTAGCAGTGTAGGTATTCTCTGCCATGTATACCAGCTGGTGGTACCAGTGAGTTTACATTAACATTACTATATCAGTCTTGGTAATTCTAGGTCCCCACCTGCTCCTATAGAAATACCAGTCTCTTGCAATGTTCCATTAAAAAAATAAAAGCCTCAGTTGTGCCCATAGGTTAGTCCAAGCTACCATGTTCCCCTGGCTTCTGTCGCTAGGTGCACTGTGGATACTGGCCTCTTCTTGATGTGCTCCGTCCTTATGGTGCTGTGACAGTGCAAGAGCACAGCACTTGCTCAGAAAGTAGGATGAAGACTCCCTCCATATCACATGCAGCTAGGGGGACGTGGAGGCCCTCAGCAGGGATGTTTGGGTTCTTCAGTTGTTTCAGAGACAGCTCTTTCCACTTATTCAACAAATCCATTTTCTTCTTCTTGTGCATACCTAATACTAACAGTGTAGCCAAAATATGGTGAGTTTATGTAGGAACCATCATACTGAACCAGAGCCATGATTCGTCTTCAGTCCTTAGTCCTATTTGGAAACTGGCAGACATCTGCTAGACTCCCCTTCCTCTTTCGTGAGGTCTCTCTCAGAATCTCTGCTGGCTCTTCCAGCAATATGGTGCCTGTTGGGTTGTCTATATACCCCCACTCTAGTCTTCTGGTATATACTTGATCCAGTTATGGGCATTGTCCAAATTTATTTGTTTTTCTCTAAGACACTTTTCAGCCCCATGTAAAACAGTGGATTGAATAGATATTTGAATCAGGGGATGTT